TAGAATTTTATGTTTGGGAAGTTTGTCAAAAATATCAAAAAGTTTCAAAACACTTGTTAAAATCACTGTGAAACAATACTTGTTCACCTAACCAGAGTGATAAAAGATTTCACAAACAAATACAGATCACTTAAAGGCAAAGAAACTCATACAATCTGTTATCAAAAGCAGTATTCCAAGAAAACTGTTCTCTTAACAGAGGAACCAGCCTACTTTTGATAACAAAATCCATTTACATAATCAAATTTAATCTAATCCCAGCCTGACCATTTAATCTAATCCCAGCCTGACAAAACTCCTTTTCAGGGTTCCTTTTACAAACCTTCCACAATTTTCTGTACTCTTATTAGTTTGTCCCTTATTTTTTCATCTAGAAACAACTGGCTCTAGGACAAAACATTCTTTCCCCTTAACAAAATATATTTTCATTCCTCATGCCTTCTTTTGCATACATTTCATTTTCCTTACATACGGAAATGTTTCCCTTCTTATCTTTAGTAACTTTAACTACATATTACAATTTTAACCCTTAAAAACCTTAATATTTAGAAAAAACCAACAAGCAGCAAGTAATTGTGAACTTTTTGTCATACCAGCATTTCCTGGTTGGAATATTCCATAACCTAGAAACATCCATCTTCTCATAGCATAATTTCTTCCCTCAATGTGGTTTAAGATGTGTCTAATAAATCCAAATGAGTCACCTTTTGTAAGGAGACAGAGGTAGGTAAATTTAGACCTGTTTAGCAACTAATGTTCCAGTGTTTTATCTTATTTGAAATAACCTGGATATTCAGTGCATTCCCATCATTTAACTTAACTTAGCAAAACTCAAGTTACCAAAAATCTGGAAAAACTATTTTAGAGAGACATACCCAAAGCATAATTATTCCTAAAAGAGTTCACCTGAAAACTCCTATCTCATTTACCTTTATTTTGTAACTTATGAAAATCATACCAAGTTAAATTTTTTCTTGCTGACAAACTATATAACAGAAATAACATGAATTTATTGATCTTCGGTAAGCCTAGGTACAATAAAAGTCAGACATGTCTATTGATACTTCCTAGATCATGTGAACCTGAAATTCATTCTGGCCAGTTTCTTTTTTTATATATATAAATTTATTTATTTTTATTTTTGGCTGTGTTGGGTCTTCATTTCTGTGCGAGGGCTTTCTCTAGTTGCGGCAAGCGGGGGCCGCTCTTCATCGCATTGCGCGGGCCTCTCACTGTCGCGGCCTCTTGTTGCGGAGCACAGGCTCCAGACGCGCAGGCTCAGTAGTTGTGGCTCACGGGCCCAGTTGCTCCGCGGCATGTGGGATCTTCCCAGACGGCTCAAACCCGTGTCCCCAGCATTGGCAGGCAGATTCTCAACCACTGTGCCACCAAGGAAGCCCCCAGTTTCTTTTATATTTAGAAATATTTAGTTTATAAGCACTTACTTTTAAGTCAATTAAGTAGAACTCTTTTATAAGTTTAATTTTGGTAATGTTTTCCAGAGGTAGAGACATCTCATATATATAATGTACACACATACATATAAACAGACAAAGTCAGAGATCTCACAGCTTCACTTTAAAAAGTTAGTTAAGAATCAGGTATTAAAATATAAACTTACTAGTTTATAAATAACAGTTGGAATAAGTTAAATTTGCTGAGATGAGTAGGGCTTCACTATTTGTGGAAAAGACTTTTAAGATTTGTATTTGTCCTTGATAAACTGTTAAGGAGGCTATGAATTAGATTTTGGGTGAGGGAGCCTTTCCGGAGACTTGAGCTTAAAAAGTCCTACCTCCCCCACCCCGTGGCCTTTTTCTTCTAGGTTTCAGGTTTTACCAGACTGAACTAATTTGACTCACTTTCAAGTCACTGTGGGCTGTATTTACATTTCTAATTCGTAGAGATTTACAAGACAAAGACAGTTGCTTTTAATTCTCTGAAGAACTGGTCTTCTGCCAAAATGATATTAAAGATTGATTTGCCCAACTATATTTTCTTTAATTTGCTTTTTTTTAAATATCAGAAGATTTCCAACCAAACTGAAAATTGAGTTCTATGTTCTAGAACTTTAGGGTTCAATTTATCTTGCTTTCAAAGGCTTGCATAAGGCATTTAACAGAGACCCCCTTTCTGATTGCATAGGTTAGACCCAGAGCAAAATCTTTATTCTTCTTATTAGCCCCTGAATATTAGCTCCCAGTCTTGTACCATATTGAGGAAAGAAGATGAATATTTCTAGAGTTTATGGAATATTCCAATTAGGAAATGCTGGTATGACAAACAGTTCACAATTTTACTTGCTGCTTGTTGGCTTTCACTAGAGTTTAAGGTATTTAAGTGTTCCTTTTACTGTGTGGGTTCAGGTAACCCTACTGGTTTCTGTTAGTATGTTTAATTAATATTGTCTGAAGGGCAGATTTATATGCCCTGTCCAGGCAGGGGAAGCATTCCGCAATGAAACATGTCTATCTCACAATATAATTAGGCAAAAGAAATGTAACCGTCTTATATAAGATCTATTTAAATATATCAAATTTTATAAACTTTATCTCAGTTCTGTCAACTTTTGTACCTTTAACTTCAGTTTGTATTAGGACACTGTCAACACACCTTCGTCTTATAAGGAGTCCAGAAACTTTTCTTTTTATCCCAACCATTTAATCTATTTTTATATAAAAGGCTTTGGGATTCCCAATGAGATGTTGAGGCAAAGGACTCAGGCCCCTTTGTTGATTTTTTTTTAAGTTGATTAATTGGCCCAAGCAATTGTTGGTCAGTTATCTCAGTGCAATTTTTTCCGACTTTTTTTTACCCCGGACTCGTTTGGAGCCCTTTAATGTTGGGGACCAATAGGGGGATCCCTTTGACGCATCCAGTCTTAGGTAGTGTTATATCAGAACCTTTTGTTTTAATCCCATTGACATCCATTTTATTTATTCTATTTTAAAATAACCATGTAAAATTTTCTTTATCCATTTGGGACGATGCCCTTTAAAATTTCTACCTTTTTTTTGAAGAAGTCTCTAGACTTTCTCTTCAGTTTTTTTCTTACTTTCCTGTTAACCTAATTAACATGAATTATCCTAGTGTGTTTATTAGCATCTGTAAGACCCATGAAGGGAAAGCAGAGTGCATAAATAAAGCTTCCCAAGCCATGTTTTCTTTTCGTTTGTTTGGGTTAAATTAAAGGAGTTCTCAGTTTAATCATTTTATCTTTTTCTACCTTCTGATTTGATTTTTTCATAGGTACCAATAGAACTGTTTATAATGAAAGCTCTAAAAATTTACCAGTTTAGAAGTTTCTCAAATTTAAAAGATCCATCATCTGGCCATTAACGAGATATATCTTAATACGGACTCAAACCAATAAAATGCAAGAGGCATGCCCACAAGACAGTGTGAAGGAAGCCACCTAAACAAAATCCAGAAAATTTACTCCCCAAAATAGTAAAAGACCTTTGTTGTACAGGCTGATAAAAGGAAGGTTAAGACGGCGGAAAGCCATATGTGTACTTTATGGATGGCAGAGACCAAGTTCTCAAAACACACACACATACACACACACACACAAAATGCTGAAGAAGATTGGGTAGAACATTTACCTCTCAAAGACACGGAAAGTTAAATGCAAGTTCCCACTAAAAGGGCTTTTCCTTTACGGTCAGAATTCTGAAAATATGTTTTATCAAGCTGGATTTCTCTAACTTAACTGCATATGCAATAAAAGAGCCCCCATCTTAGTCATTTTCAGGGCAAGATTTCCTTTAATCCCCAATTGAAGTACTTGTAAATGTAAGTTTTGTATGTACATAAACCTGGTAATTTGTCACTCCTTTTGTTCTGAAAGTTTTATTCCCTGTTCTGAGGTCAGTTTGTTGAGATAAAGTAGCTAGTGACAATCCTGTGGTGGGCCAGGGTGCAGTTTGTGAGCTTAACTCCTCTAGGTTTTACCCTGGAGCTGTTTTAGCTCTCTTACGTGTCTCAGTTTTTCCCTTCAGTATCCTGAGACCACTGTGGGTGCTCAGATCATGGAGTGACCAACTCTTATGCATATCCCCTGCAGAGCAAATTTTTAATTAAAGTGAGTGGGTTTCCCTGTAGGGGCAGCTGCATATTATGAGGGCTTGCCTCCACCACTCCCACAAGCGTCTTAGTTGCCTGAAAAAGCCGTTGCCACCTGGGAGGAGATGTTCCTTTTTTGGAGCAGAAAGCTCTCATGAGATACCTCACTTTTATTACAATAAACTGTTAAAGTAGCCAATTCAAGGAAAAACGACAAGCCAGTCTTCTACCTAATTTACGCACTCCAACCTTACTCAGTGTCTTTCAGCTGAGCAAAGTCTTCCCAGTGTCTTTCAACTGAGGTTAACCTGCTCATTGTCTAAACTGAGTAAAAATCTCCCCAGTATCTTTCAACTGAGGGTAAACCAGGTACCTTTTCTTGAAACAAAGTTTCAAAGATAACCTGCTCCTCCAAAGAAGAGACTTAGGAGATTCGAGAACCAGGAGAGAGACTCACCGAAATTTGTCTGGACTGTCCGAGGAGGCAGACAGGCCCAAGTGGCCTCAGCTGGTACCAAGGCTCCAGATCCTCATAGAGTTCAGGCAAAGGACAGAAGTCTACTCTGGGTCACTTTGTTAGTCGCCCAAACGGTCGACTGAAAAAAATTGCACAACCTAAAAGTTGAGAATTATGTTTTATTCGGCAGACTTTCTGAGACTTTAAGCCCGGGAAACAGCCTCTCAGATAGCTTTGAGGGACTGTTTTGAAGAGGTAAGGGAGGAGCCAGGATATATAGGATTTTTTGCAGACAAACAAAAACTAGGTAGTCAGAACATCAAAAGATTACAGTTAATTAAAGAAAACCAGACACCTCAAGTTAATGAATTTAACACTTTTATGTGTATCGGAAGATGTAAGCGTCTGGGCTTATTGAAGTTGTTCCTTTGATATGCACCTTAACTGCCCTGTTTTTCTCCATCCTGTATCCCCTCAGAGTGTACCATTGGGGGTGGCTGCGGAGGCTGATAGCTTGATGGCAGGCAGCCTGTTTATCTTGATCCTGAGTTCCCCTCAGGATGCACCATCAGGGGTGGCTTCAGTGGCTGATGGCTGCAGCATTCTTTGGCAGGTGACATGACATTCTTTGTCCACAGAGGGAAAGTACATACTGATGAAGAAAATATTTTGAAGCATTTTAAGGAGATACAAATGCATTGTCAATATTTATTTTGTATTTGTTTCTTTACATTTTATAATCTTGAGATTATCAAAATTATATTTCTCTTATGTGAAGGTTGATATTGTTGACCCACCTTTACCAAAGTACAGAACTAGAAAGTTTGCTGAGAAAAGTTTTATCATTTTAGGAAATAAATTTAACAGCAAGTTTTCATTTAATGCTACAATAAAGAATGCTTTCAAGAGTTTCCATAGTAACACTTGAAATACCTCTGTAATGTTGTAAATGGTTTTGGTAGTTCTACAAAGATAATTATGTATGAGATGATAGGGAGAATATTAAGTTTATAAATAAAATCTACAGAATTGGAATTAAACCCAATAACAGAGTTCTAGATTGTCTAGACACATTAAAGATTCTTCATAAATCTTAGGTTATTTTTGTCCAAATACTCGTATGTCCTATAACACCTTGTAGTTAATTTATTCATCATATTGTGAAATGCATCTTACTTAGAGGGGTTTTTTCCCCTCTGGAAAGCTAAATATTTTAATCACTGATTCTCCTTATGGTTCTTGGCCCCTTGGAAGAGTTAACAGTTGGTCATACTATTTACCTCATTTTAAAACTCATTTTTTTATATATATATATATATATATATATATGCATGTGTGTGTGTGTACACACACACATAATCTTTGCAGATACAAGTCTAATTGAAAATACTGTCTTTGAATCTGTATCAAGCTGAAAAATGTTTTAAAACTTCTTTAAAAATAACCATATTTGGGCTTCCCTGGTGGCGCAGTGGTTGAGAGTCCGCCTGCCGATGCAGGGGACACGGGTTCATGCCCTGGTCCGGGAAGATCCCACATGCCGCGGAGCGGCTAGGCCCGTGAGCCATGGCCGCTGAGCCTGCGCGTCCGGAGCCTGTGCTCCGCAACGGGAGAGGCCACAACAGTAAGAGGCCCGCGTACCGCAAAAAAAAAAACAAACAAAAAAAACATTTTGAATAAAAATATGTGCTGAGAAAAAACTAGTTTTCTTTTTGAATTGGAAAATGGAGCTTATGCTTTCTTTGAGGAAATTTGTACTCAGAAGTTTAAGATAATTATGATTGTATTTTTGGTTTGTTTTGGAAATATATTTTACTATTCTGAGGCAAATGGATAGTTTTATTACAGATTGTAGGAATGGATTCATGGTCATTTCTTGACAGTTTTTCACTTTTGCACAGGAACTGTGCAGGGTGGGTGGGAGGAGAACAAGTCATCACTTCTTGCCATGTTTCCCTCTCAATCAAAATAACTCTCCCTTAAGGGGCACCTGACTACATTGTTGGTGGAATGTAAATTGGTGCAGCCACTATGGAAAACAGTATGGAGGTTCCTCAAAAAACTAGAGTTGCCTGCCATATGATCCAGCAGTCCCACTCCTGGGCATATATCCAAACAAAATTATAACTAAAAAAGTTACATGCACCCCTATGTTCATAGCAGCACTATTCACAATAGTCAAGACATGGAAACCTAAATATTCATTGACAGATAAATGAATAAAGATGTGGTATATATATTGATACAATGGAATGCTGCTCAGTCATTAAAAACAAAATAGTGAACAAAATAATGCCATTTGCAACAACATGGATGGAACTAGAGATTATCATACTAAGTGAAGTAAGTCAGAAAGAGAAAGATACCATATGGTATCACTTATATGTGGAATCTAAAATATGACACAAGTGAACCTATCTGCGAAAGAGAAACAGACTCACAGACATAGAGAACAGACTTATAGTCTGACTTGTGGTCTGGGGAGGGATGGAATAGGAGTTTGGAGTTAGCAGTTGCAAACTACTATATATGGAATGGATAAACAACAAGGTCCTACTGTATAGCACAGGGAACTATATTCAATATCTTGTGATAAGCCATAATGGAAAAGAATATAAAAAAGTATATATATGTATAACTGAATCACTTTGCTGTGCAGCAGAAATTAACACAACATTGTAAATCAACTATACTTCAGTTTTTTAAAAAAACTTGTCCCTTTATCTAATTTTATGCAAAAGAGATTATTCAAATGTTAAAAAGCAAAGAGGAATTCTTTACTGAAGAAAAAAGTCTTCTATTACTGTTCGAAAAATGTTGCTCTCAAACATAAATTGTCATAGTGCAGAAGATGTGATTAGTGTTAGGTCTTTGAGAATCATGTTTTTATTAGAGAATATAAAAGACTAAAAGACTTTTAATGAAATGATGTGAAATCACAGAGTAGAGGTGCCAGTATACTAAGCAATAAAATAATCTGCTCTGAATATATTTTTCATCTTGTTTAATTAAGGTTATTTGAAGATAACATACTCATTTTCTGATACTGATAATTCCTTTGGTTTCTTTTTCTAATTCTGGCATAACATGAAATAAAATTATAAACCGATCATTAGAAACTTAAAATGGCATATCAGTTGACAGTGATCATAACATTTAAATTTGTAAGTGTCAAGTAATTTCTGTGTTTTTTCATCCAGTGGAGCATGTTGAAGGATGAAAAGAGACAGGCTTCATTTCATGAAATTAACATTTATTGTGCATTACGTAAGTCATAGTGCTAAATACTGAGAACATAGTTCCTGTACACATGGAACTTAAAATTTGTGTGCCAGGGGCTTCCCTGGTGGCGCAGTGGTTGGGAGTCCACCTGCTGATGCAGGGGACACGGGTTCGTGTCCCGGTCCGGGAAGATCCCATATGTTGCGGAGCGGCTGGGCCCGTGAGCCATGGCCACTGAGCCTGCGCGTCCGGAGCCTGTGCTCCGCAACGGGAGAGGCCACAACAGTGAGAGGCCCGCGTGTCACAAAAAAAAGAAAAATTGTGTGCCAGTTTTTAAGAATTAATAAACTTCTTTTATCCTGTTTTTTTCTAGCCTAATTCTGGTGAACTGGATCCTTTATATGTAGTGGAAGTACTTCTGCGCTGTAGCAAAGAGAGCTTGAAAAATTCAGCTACTGAGGCTGCAAAACCAGCTAAATCTGATGAGAAAGGAGAGATGCAGGTTTGTACTTTATTTTTCATTTTCAGATTTCAGATATTTTGTACATTATTTATAATCACTAGCTTTCCTATATGTGATTATATTGAACATACTGTCATGATTTCCTAATTGGAAGTTTTCAAGGTATGTGAAAGCCATCTAACACCAGTAGGATGATTAATCTTCTTATCAAATTATGGCAAGGTAATTAGTGACAAACTGAAAGATAAAGAGAATTTAATCATTTAAATTTTCACATGAAGCTGGAATTTACCTGAGCTAAAAAAGATGATTTATCATTATTTTACGATTGTATCATTTTACACTTTATTCCATCCATATTGTTTATTACATTCCTGTGAAAATAATGATTGAAAATAATGAGCCAGTGTTTTGATAGGAAACTTAGGTAGAACTTTTTCATTAATTTACATGTGCTTTTAATTAAATGCAAAACATTCAGCTTGCCACATGAGATACACATATTACTTAAATGGCTCCTATTTTATTTCATTTTAAAATAATTAATATAGAATAATTGTAGGTAAGCCTTACTGTGGAGAGTCCAAGTATCTATTTGAAGAGTAATATCATACTGAAATTTTTTTTTAAACACTGCTTTAAGTATATGTTGTATTGGCTAGGTCTTTTAGGAAATGTCATTGTTAATGATACTTGTCATAACAGGCTTTGGTTTGTGGGAAAGTTGAAGTTGGAATGGCAAATATGTGGCATGCATCACAACATTCTCCTTCTCTCATGGCAGATATTAATAATAAGTCATGGGCCCCTTTTTTCCCATATACAGGGAAAAAGAGCAGTTAACAGAAACTGTCACTGAGGAAGTCCAGCTACTGCACTTAATAGAGTTTAAATCAGCTATTTTTAAATATGTTGAAAGTGTATTTAAAATTTTAAAAATCTGATTTTAATTTGTAACAGTACACGTTTTTTTGTTTGTTTTTCTTTTTGTTGTTGTTGGGTTTTTTTTTTTGCGGTACACGGGCCTCTCACTGTTGTGGCCTCTCCCGTTGTGGAGCACAGGCCCCGGATGCGCAGGCTCATTGGCTATGGCTAACGGGCCCAGCAGCTCCGCGGCATGTGAGATCTTCCCGGACCAGGGCACGAACCCTTGTCTCCCGCATCGGCAGGCAGACTCCCAACCACCGCGCCACCAGGGAAGCCCAGCCTCTTACTATTTTTAACAGATGCCAGTAGGGAAAAGGTTGTTTGCACTGGGCAAGCCCTGGGTCAGGTCAAGTAATGACCTCCTTGTGAATGAATAGAGTCTTCTACGGGACCACCAAACAGGTGAAATACTGACAGTTCTCTGGGAATGGCCTTTTGAAGTCATTTCAACCCTGTTCTCTCCCTTCCGGTGGCTGCCAGACTGATATTCAGTGATTGCAGGCTCTTGGTTTTCAAGACTACTGTGGAGCTGAGTGGGAGAGGGAGTAAAGTAAGTTAAAACACTGCAAAGCATCCAATTCTTTGGTTTGGGTTTTTTTTTTAATTAAACGCTCCTTGGATTGGTGCAAGCCTTTGTTTAATTTCCAGAGTTCTGAAGAAGTTGATTTTGACAATTGCCAGTATTCCCAATGCTTTTATGGGGAAGAGGATTTTTGGAGGTCTTTGCCTCCACCATTTTCACTGGCATTCTTCTGGATAAACTTAGAGAAAGCATCTATTACATTCAATAGATTATTACATTAGTCAGCTTTTAAATTAGATCAAGACCCAAATTTAATTTTTGTGAATCTAAAATTTAATAAAAATCACATTGGTTTGAATAACTTTGTCTGCCTTGACTGGATTAAAATTCAGTTGGTTCAAAAAACATCATTCTGATTTAGATGAAAAATTCAAAAATCATATTGTGTTTTAGCTAACAGTCTTAATTGAAGAGATGACATTGGTCGAAATTTACTTAGAGTGTATTGACTTAAAGATTGTATTGACTTAAAATGTACTGACTTTTGATATTATTTACCTTATCATTTGCTTATCTTAAAAGGGGAAATTGATTTATGACAAACTTGCAAAGAAAAAGGTCTAAGAATAAAAATACTCCTTACTGTTGGTATTCTCACGCTTTTCTAATAATTGCCCTCGTGATTATTTGGATTTATATAGACCGATGTTGCATCATGATAAGCCTGAATTCTAAGTTCTTTTATAAAGGTTATTAGGTTTAGAAAGTTGAATCAACTGCACAATGCAAATATTATAACATGTTTTTAAATCCTTGTGAGTGTAGAGATTTATAATTTCATGGCAACTGTTCATTTGGTTTTTAAACATTTAAGTTCTTATTTACAGAACTTAAGTCTTAGGATCTCCCTTTCTTGTACTTAAGGAGACATTTGTAGGAGGGCCTTTATAGTTTCTTTCGTGTCATTAGTGTGAGACTTAGTTGACCATTTCTTGGATGGAACTTATTATAGGAAGCAGCATTAGAAATTGGGTAGTTTCTGTCTTCCTTCTGAATCAGGTCTTCACAGATAGTGTTTATTCTGTTTTCAAGGAAATACTTCTGCATAATGGAACTTGTGCATAATTCAGCTGCAAGTACATAAAGCATACACTTCTTCTCTAAAGTCAAGTGAATTATTTTTAATTTTTCTGCCATTTTGGATTGTGTACGTGTACCTCAGTACAGAAAAATAGTGTATTTCTCCCTCTGGGTGTTGGCTACCTGGTACATCATTGACAGTTTTTCACGTCCTGAGTCTTCTCTTTCCAGCCAGCCCAGGTATCTAGGATTTGTATAGATCACAAATTGGCGGCTCAAAAGCCAATTCAGTCCACATAATGTCTTCTTTAAAAGTGAATTTGACAGTTTGAGAATAAAAATAATGATAGTAAAAGATTATAATCAAGTGAAAATAAAATAAGAACCCACAAGCTTATATACTCAGAATAGATACTGTAGAAGGAATGGAGATGTTAGAAGAGTCAACGTTAGACAACTACCATAAGTAATTTTTGACTCAGGCAAGAATAATCCATAGATGTTAAAACTAGTGAGTTGAAAGTTTAATGAAGGACTTCTTTGATGGTGCAGTAGTTAAGAATCCGCCTGCCATTGCAGGGACGTGGGTTTGAGCCCTGGTCCAGGAAAATCCCACATGCTGTGGAGCAACTGAGCCCATGCGCCACAACTACTGAGCCTGTGAGCCACAACTACTGAGCCCGCGAACTACTGAAGCCTGCATGCCTAGAGCCCATGCTCTACAACAAGAGAAGCCACCACAATGAGAAGCCCATGCGCCACAAGAGAAAGCCCACACGCAGCAACGAAGACCCAATGCGGCCATTAATTAATTAATTAATTTTAAAAATGTTTAAAAAAAAGTTTAATGAAGAATGGGATACTTACAAAGTCTACAAAGACTCTCCCTATAAATTTCTTATAAATTTTTAAAATAAATTTATTTATTTATTTATTTATATTATTTTTGGCTGCGTAGGGTCTTTGGTGCTGTGCGTGTGGGTTTCTCTAGTTGTGACGAGCCGAGGCTACTCTTTGTTGTGGTGTGCGGGCTTCTCATTGTCATGGCTTCTCTTGTTGCGGAGCATGGGCTCTAGGCGCACAGGCTTCAGTAGTTGTGGCACGTGGGCTCAGTAGTTGTGGCTTTCGGGCTCTAGAGCTCAGGCTCAGTAGTTGTGGCACATGGGCTTAGCTGCTCCGCAGCACGTGGGATCTTCCCAGGCCAGGGCTTGAACCCGTGTCCCTTGCATTGGCAGGCAGATTCTTTTTTTTTTTTTTTCCTTTTTGCGGTACGCGGGCCTCTCACTGTTGTGGCCTCTCCCGTTGCGGAGCACAGGCTCCGGACGCACAGGCTCAGCGGCCATGGCTCATGGGCCCAGCCACTCCGCGGCATGTGGGATCTTCCCGGACCGGGTGAACCCGTATCTCCTGCATCGGCAGGCAGATTCTTAACCACTGTGCCACCAGGGAAGCCCCAATTTCTTATAAATTTATCTCCCTGTAAATTTATTGTGAAAGGGAAAGTAGTAACTTATAGTAGAAAATGCTAGCAGATGTTACTTTAATCAAGTAATCAAAGTTACTGTCACCAATCCAGTAATGTTGACCAATGGACTGAGACCAACAAAGAAAAAAATCACTTGTGCCAAAAATGCATAACCTGAGTCTGATGATTCTTCATGACAACACAAACCTAAACTGAGAATCGTTCTACAAAATAACTGGCCTATAGTATTCAAAAATGTCAATGTCTTGAGAGTCACAGAAGAACTGAGGAACTGTTCCAGATTAAAGAAGAACAAAGAAATATTATAGCTAGGTTCAATGCATGATCCTAGTTTTGCTCCATAGAGTGGTGGGGGGAGAAGGGAGGGCAAAAGACATTATTGCAAAAGTAGATGAAATTTTAATATGGACTGTCGATTAGATAATATCAGTGTATCTACATTAATTTCCCTCTTTTAATACTTGTACTGTGGTTGTATGGGTGTGTATGTTTGTGTATATGTATATACATAAATATATAAAGAGGATGTTGTAGCACATGGGGCAAAATACAAATAATTGGTGAATCTGAATAAAGGTATATGGGAGCTTTTTATCCTATTCTTGCAATTTTTCTCTAAATTTGAAATTATATGAAATGTTAATACCATAAAAGAACAAAAAAAGGTGGAGAGTATTCTAGATTAAAGAAGACTAAGAGACCTGACAACTAAATGTGGTAAATGATCCTTGGCTGAATCCTGAATCCAAAAGTAATAGTAGTAGTATCCTGGCTCCAAACGTAATAGTAGTAGTGGTGGTGGTGGTGGTAGTCGTAGTAGTAGTGCTAGTAGTCTATAAAGGACATTATTGGATTAGCTGGGGAGATTTTAATATGGACTATGTATTAGATGATGTATTATTGTTAAATTTCTGTGATCTCATAATATTGTGGCTATGCAGGAGAAGGTGCTTGTTCTTAAAAGATACACGTTTAATTGGGTCCCATTGGTTTATTTTTGCTTTTATTTCTTTTTTCTTGGGAGACTGATCTAAAAAAAATATTGCTACAATTTATGTCAGAATGTTTTGCCTATGTTCTCTTCTAGGAGTTTTATGGTGTCATGTCTTATATTCAAGTCTTTAAACCATTTTGAGTTTATTGTTGTATGTGGTGTAAGGAGTGTTGTTATTTCATTGATTTAATTGCAGTCATCCAGCTTTCCTAACACCACTTGCTGAAGAAACTGTCTTTTCTCTATTGTATATTCTTGCCTCCTTTGACATAAATTAATTGACCATAGGTATGTTGGTTTATTTCTGGGCTCTCTGTTCTGTTCCGTTGTTTATCCTCATTTTTTAAATGGGGAGACTGAAGCTTAAAACTCTAGGTGACTTGATCAAGGTCACACAACTAACTGAAGACTGAATTCAAACCCAGGCAGTCTTGACTCCAGAACCCACATTCAGCCACTATACCATTTTGTTTAGTAAAACAGAGTGAATATATTTGTTATCAGCAAGTGAATGACAGTTGTTTTTCCAGTGGTGATCAGTGTAAAGGTAAGGAGACCAATAAACTGACAAAGTTGGATCTGTGAAAATGTTAACCTCTCCTCAGTTTATAGAGTCTGAATTTAAAGGGAGCAAATTTAAAGAAAGCAGATGGCATTTTTGATGGTGAGGGAAGGGTATTCTTGTCAGGAGAAAGCATGGAAGAAAGTTTGAAGATAGGTTTTCTTCAAGATTATGTCTAATGGAGTATACTGTTTTCTCTGCTTGAAATACCTCTTTTCAGCTCTTCATTCTGGCCCATCCAGAGATTACATGAGTCTTGCGTGGCCAACTAAACCTAAATAGACCTAAGTAGGAGTCTTTCCTTCCTCTGTAGTGCTATAGTACTTTTAGGTATTCAAAAAGTAGCAAGTACTGAGGGTGCAAAAATGAATAAAATATGGATTCTGTGTTAAGGGAATCACTTATTTTTATGTACCATTTGTTTGCCTGTTACTTAAAGTTTGAATTTGTTTTCACTTTTTAAATATAGTTTCTACTAAGATATAAGCTTCCACAATGATTACTATCTACTTATTATACCTGTCACATACTGTAAATGCAGTTTCCTTTTAAGAATTCAAGCTAAATTTAAGAAATGGCAGAATTTGAACAGGTTCAATTTTAGTTGTAACATATATATATATAACTTTTCTGTTGGTAGGTTGTTCCAGTTTTGGTGCATCTCCTGTCTGCTATCAGCAGTGTTAGGCTTTACATTCCTAAAGACCTTCGACCACTGGACAATAGACAGAGTGTTTTAAAATCAATACAGGTATACACGTTAATTTTATAAATTAAACATAAATTTTATGTAAATATAAATAGGGTTTATAACAAGGCAACTGATTTGCTGTTAAATATATTGCTTTCTTTCAGAAAACCTATAAACACTACCAATAGTGGCAGTTATTTTTAACAAAGATAGTGGCAGCAGATCTATATGTAGACTGTCCTCTCTTTGAATCTAGCAACAAAGTCAGGCTAAAGGAGGGCTCACAGAGGAAAACATGGCCACTATTTTGTGTTAAATATGTTTTGCTTTATTCGTTATGAATGAAAATAACTATAGAGTGTATTTTAAAGTTTTATGTATAGGGCTTCCGTGTTGGCACAGTGGTTGAGAGTCCACCTGCCGATGCAGGGGACACGGGTTCGTGCCCCGGTCCGGGAGGATCCCACATGCTGCGGAGCGGCTGGGCCCGTGAGCCATGGCCGCTGAGCCTGCGCGTCCGGAGCCTGTGCTCCACAACGGGAGAGGCCGCAACAGTGAGAGGCCCACGTAACGCCAAAAAAAAAAAAAAAAAAAGTTTTATGTATAAAATCATGTGCCAGGACTTTTAACTACTTTATAGTATAGTTAATACATGGATGAAATAGTCTTATTTTCAATAGGAAAAGTTAAGATTTTATAGAAAATTTTATTTTCCGGTAGGAAAATAAAAAGGCACTTCGTTAGTTGGTGAGTCAATAAATATTTGAAAAGGATTTACTATATAGTGAAGGCTGTGTACTAAAATCTGAGAAAGCAGGATGCTTTCAGTGTACAGTAGGAATTTTTAAGCTGTGGTCCATGGGTGGGCTTCTTGAAATGAATAATTCTCTTGGCAGTTTTATAAAAAGTTTTTGTGGGTAACTCCTCCCTCCCAACTTTTTTTTAATTTCTAACTGGCCAAATCCTATCTTACCTTTAAGCCCTATCCAAGACCCTGAAAGTCTCCCAGTGGGGTACCAGCCTGTAGTGACCTATCTCTTCCCTGAACTCACATGTTCATTATATTTAATAGTCAAATCATGTTACAAAAAAATTTAGTGATGGGAATCTGGACCCTTTGAAAGTTTATATCTTTCAGCTCAGTAGTGCCCTCCCTAGGAATCAGCCCCAAAGAAGTAATCAGAATATTGAAAACATTTACACTTGAGATGTTCAATACAGGATTATTTATAATGGCAAGAAGTTACAACAACCTAAATATACGGTAATGGGCTTTATCAATAAGTTGTGCTGCATCCATAACTATTAAACTTTAAATATTAGAATTATTAATAAATTGTAATACATGTCTGTACATAGAAAAAACATAAAAGGAATTATTTAGTCTTAACTAATTTTGTATGTAAGATGAAAAATGAATTTTAAATATTTTGTTTCAGGAAGTTCAGAAACGTTTTCCTGATGGTGTTCCCTTATTAGATCCTATTGATGACATGGGCATTCAAGATCAAGGACTGAAAAAAGTCATCCAGAAAGTAGAGGCTTTTGAGCATCGAATGTATTCTCATCCACTTCACAATGATCCAAATCTGGAAACTGTGTATACGCTTTGTGAAAAAAAAGCACAGGTATGGCAGAAACTCTTTTATCATAGAATTCTAAGCATTTCACTATATAAGTGAGTATATATTTTTCATTTTCTTTTCCTACTGGTTTCATCAGCTAAAACAGGAAAATGTCTAGCTATCTTTTAAGTAAACTATCAACTCTTACCAGTAAAAAAAAGTTGATCACTTTGAGATGTCATTCACATAACATAGCATTCACCCTTTTAATGCATAGAATTCAGTGGTTTTTAGTATATTCACAGATATCTGCAACTATAACCACTATCTAATTCTAGAACATTCTCATCACCCCAAAAAGGAACCACATACCAATTAGCAGTCCCTCCCCCTTTCCCTACCCTCCAGCCGCTGGCAACTACAAATCTCCTTTCTGCCTCTATGGATTTGCCTATTCTGGAGATTTCATATTAAAAAAATCATACAATATGTGGCCTCTGTGTTTGCCTTCTTCCACTTAGCTAATATCTTCAAGATTCATCCATGATGTAGCAGAATTTGTATTTTATTCTTTTTTATGGCCGAAAAATATTCCATTGTATATATATACCACATTCTGTTTAACCACTCATCAGTTGATGAACATTTGGAGTTTTTCCACTTTTTGGCTATTATGAATAATCCTGCTATGAACATTTATGTACACATTTTTGTGTGGACATATCTTTTCATTTCCCCTGGATGGAATTGGCGTAGAATTGCAGGTCAGTGAGTAACTCTGTGTTTAACTCTATGTTTAACTTTTTGAGAAACTGCCAAACTGTGTTCCAAAGTGGCTGCACCATTTTACATTCTCACCAGCAATATATTAAAGTTCCAGTTTCTCCACATCTTCACTAATATTTGTTTCGTCTGTATTTTTAATTATAGCCATCCTAGTGGTATGAAGTAGCAGTTCACCTTTTTAGGCTAACTAGCTATATTCTCTAACCAGTAAAAGCATTCTTACAGCCATTCTGAATAATGAATTTAGAAAAAGCTTTTTGAAATGAATACATTTCTTTCCACTATCTACTTCTCTTCAACTAGAATCTTTTGTATATACAAATGTCGCTTCCTCCTTGAAGTTTATAACTCCTTGCTATTATGCTTTTTCAGCTTTTATCACATGCTACTTTAATCATGTTTGTCTTCCTGTCTCACAAACTAGATTTTAAGCTCCTTAGGCTCAGGTGTTTCATTTAAGCTTATTTGTACTCTTCCATATTTCCCATAATGATCTATTTTTATAAAGTAGATGCCTAGTATTTATTGAATAAATAATATAAGTAGAAACTTCTTGGCTTAATAGAGTAATGTGTTCAGTTCATAGTTTTACAGCACTGCCCCTTTCTAGCTTTTTGTGAACTAGCATGATGTGGCCCTGTGCCATGTTGGGCACAGCAGGTGTGTTCTCAGTGAACATGTAGCACACCATGCTGTGGCCCACCATGAAGGTTTCTTCTCAAGATGAGGAAACTGAGACACAAAAAGCTTGAGTATACTCAATTGTCATCCTGGCCTCATCTATCACCGGGACCATTGCAGCAGCTCCCTCCCTGCTTCCATTTACTCCGTACCTGACCACCAGAATCATCCTTAACCGTTTCAACACAGGAACAGAAAGACTTGAGTTTGGTTGAGTGATGACTGGAAAGTATCCACAGGGAAGGTGGTTTGAAGCCACAGAGAAAGGCATTATCTGAGCCACTCAAATATAACAAAAAGGCCCTAGTGTCTGGTTGAAAGACAGGCTAAATAAACTTGTTATGAAGACTGCAATACATGGAAAAAATGCTTATACAGGAACATTAAATTTAAAAAGTAGGACCTAAAATCGTTGTGGACTATGATTACAATTTAGCAAAAGTAAAAACGCACACCAGAAAAGACTGAAAGGAAAACCTTAAGTGGTTGTGTTTGGGCAGTGAGATTATAGTAGGTAATCCTGCTCCCACCCGCCCCCCATTGTCTGTAATGTGCTTGTATTGCATTTCTTTTTTTTCTTTTTTTTTTGCAGTACGTGGGCCTCTCACTGTTGTGGCCTCTCCCATTGCGGAGCACAGGCTCCGGACGTGCAGGCTCAGTGGCCATGGCTCATGGGCCCAGCCTCTCCGCGGCATGTGGGATCTTCCCGGACCGGGGCACGAACCCGTGTCCCCTGCATCAGCAGGCGGACTCTCAACCACTGTGCCACCAGGGAAGCCCTTGTATTGCATTTCTTAATGAAAGAAAACTACAAAGAGTTAACAACTTAGGGGAAAAAAAACAAGTCTTTTTTTTGTTAATGACCTCCTGACCTCCTAGTGACTGCAGGATAAATTTGACATTCCTTAGCCCTGCCTAGGAAGCCTTCAAAATCTGACCCCTCAACTGTCAACATTTTAAGTACTCATACCCTCTGATTCAGCTTTCCGGTCCTCTCGGACTGAAACTACAAAGTGAGGCAGTACAAGGTTGTTCTTGTAGCATTGTTTGAAAAAGCAAATGAATGTAAACAACCTCAGTGTTCATCAGTAGAAAATTAGATACATGAATTATGCATATCCACACAGTGGGTATCAACATGGCCATTTTAAAAAAATGAGGTAAATTTATATGTACTTTTTGGAAAAGAAGTCCTAATTGTATGGAGTGGAAAAGGAAGCTGACCTCACTTCTGTGGGAAAAGCCCCTGTACCTATGTATTTATTCATTTACAGACATGGATATCTGTATTCTTTTAAAGTATGTAGAAAAAGATATAGAACAGCATTATCCAGTAGAAATATAATACAAGCCACTTATGTAATTTTAAATTCTTTAGTAGCCACCTTAAAAAAATAGTGAAGGGCTTCCCTGGTGGCGCAGTGGTTGAGAGTCCGCCTGCCAATGCAGGGGACACGGGTTCGTGCCCTGGTCCGGGAAGATCCCACATGCCACAGAGCGGCTGGGCCCGTGAGCCATGGGCGCTGAACCTGCACGTCCGGAGCCTGTGCTCCGCAACGGGAGAGCCACAACAGTGAGAGGCCCGCATACTGCAAAAAAAAAAAAAAAAGTGAAAAGAAACAGGTGAAATTAATTTTAATAAGATTTTTATTTAGCTCAATATGTCCAAAATACATTTCAACATGTAATCAATATAAAAATTACTATGATAAAAATCTTAAATAGTAGACTGTCTTCTACCAACCTTTAAGCTTTATATGCCTCTGGGTACTTAGCACAGTCTTCTATGCTAATATGGGCACATCTTCAATTAAAGAAATTTTAGAAGACAAATTTTTTTTTTCTGATAGGCCTGATAGATCATGCTAGGTAGTATAGAGTTGTCTAACATATAAAGCATTCCTTCTTATCCTCCTAGCATTATGACAATATATCTGTTCATAGCAATGTAAATAATTGCTAGGAGTTTAGATTCTAGAGTCTGATAGTCTGGGTTTGAATCCCATCTTTAATCACTCACTAGCTCTGTGATCTTGACCAGTATCTTGATCTTGGTAATCTCTGTCTGCCTCAGTTTTCTCATCTGTAAAATGCACATTTAATATTAGTTACCTACTTTATATGATTGCTGTAAGAATTAAATGAAATAATGTAAAGCACTTGAAGAAACAGGATTTATAGTTAGCTGTCAATAAATATCAGTTACTGACCACCATCATTGCCTTCAACATTTCTACTCCTCAGTTGAAGCTTAATAAATCATCTTCAAAATTCCAAAGTCTTTGAATTTCTACTTCTCAATCCCTAAACTTTTCTGTCCATGTTTTTCTGAACTTCAAGCCTCCACTTCAGGATCACAGTGTTTTCTTGCTCTTGTACTGTCATCCTCTGTCACAGTCGAAAAGTATGTAATATTTTCTGATTAATAGAATTTTAAAACTCATCTACCCTATAGGATGACCTCAAAATAACATTTTCCTTTTAAGTATTCATCTCTGTCTATAGAATAAAGACCTCTTCTCTTTGCTAAATCCACTTCCAGCTTAGGCAGATTTGTTATGCAATTTGAGGGCAAAGAGAAGGAACGCTTTTCAGGGCATCATAAGGGAATATAAGTAGTTGAGAGATAAGATTCATATACTCTCATCTTTCTTTCCTTATTCTCTGAGTTACCCCCTAATTCCCTAAGGATGAAAAGCTGGAGTTGATGTTATAGCTACCTCAGATACATCATTCCTCTTGTGTAATATCCTGGGACAATAAGAAACTCCTGTGTTCTCCTCCACGTTCCCCGGCCCCCAATATAATATTTTTTGTTTCATTTCATGACTAAACATCATATCATTTTGTTTACTTTATTATTTAACTTCTTTTGTACTTTTATATGCCTTAGATTGCAATAGACATTAAATCCGCAAAGCGAGAACTAAAGAAAGCAAGAACTGTCCTACAAATGGATGAGCTCAAATGTCGCAAACGTGTTTTAAGGAGGTTGGGATTTGCTACGTCTTCTGATGTCATAGAGATGAAAGGACGAGTGGCTTGTGAAATAAGCAGGTAAAACCTGGTTGGTCTAGAAAACTGATTCTAAAATGGGATACTGTTTTTTAAATGAAGGCTATTAATCTTTTGGAAAAAGAGCTATATTAAAAATATAAAGTTGTACAATGCCTTCCATATTAAAATACAGGTTCTGATCATGAAGTTGAAAAATTAGAAAGGGAGAATAAAAATCGTTTGAATCCTACTAATTAACACAGACACCATTAGTACTTTCATATGTTTCCTTTTTCTTTATTTTAATGCATTGTGGACTTTTTACATAATTGTAACCTTAGTTTATATATGGTTTTTGTATACTTTTAATTATTTTTACAATTATGAACATTTTCCCACCTTGAAACTTAATCTAATAATCATTATCCTTTTTTATGTAAAGTTTTGGTCTAACAGTAGGGTATTAGAGTATAGCATATTATAGGCCACAGCTTGAAATTGGATGTAAACTTTTGTAAATTGGATATAAGCTGTTGTCTATTTTGGTAATCTTTTACCACATTACAAATGACCTTAAAACTAAATGACTTAAAACGGAAGTCATTTCATTCTCTCCGATTGTTTCTGTGGGTCCGAAATGCTGGAAGGGCTCTTTAAGTTGTTCTGGCTCAGGGTCCCACTTGACTGCCATCATCTTGAAGATACTTATTTTGCCATAGCCATGACCATTATTCTCGATGAGTCCATAAAAGACATCTTGAAAAATTTTTTGTGTTCTCACCAAGGCCCTAATGGATGGGGCCAAAGAATTACAAGCCTTGTAGATGGTTTTGGATATTCTTGATGAAGACTTATTCATACTGTTCTTATTGATCATCTGGTTCAGATATGAATTCAGATATCGGCAGGGGCCAAGATTCTGTGGCAAACAGGACAGTTCTAGGCCGCCAAAAGGGGGCAGCGACTACCCAGCCCCAATTAATTATTACAGAATAATATGATATCAGAGTATTCAACTTAGAAAAGTCAAAAATCCAGATTTTTTTTTTTTTTGGTGAAATCTCTTGATTTTTAAATGTTCAGATACTAATTCAAAATTATTTTTTTAAGTCCCTGTGCAAGCTAAATAAAATGTTTCTTCATGTTAGATTTGGCCTACAGGCTTGTAGTTTTCCTTTAAGCTGTGATAAAATTAAGTTTTCCTACTCTGTACTTAAAGAAACCTAGGCACTATAAGGCTAATAATTTACCCAGGATTAAATTTAGACTATAACACCAATCTACTGATTTGAATGCCAAAATTAATGTTATTAGAATTATTTCTTTGTGGTGTTATGTAGTATTGATATTTAATAGTTAATATAGAAATTAATTTCTATTAGATATCTGCAGCTAGTTTTAGTCTTAGAAGAAAGAATATTTAGAGAGATAGTGATAACAATATCACATATCAAAGTACGTTACCTTTCCCCCAAAATTTGTCTCTCCCTCTGGTCTGTCTTGCTGAATAAGACCCAGCCACTAAAGGCAAAAACTGGGGAGTCGTCCTAGATTCCTCCTCTTCCTTCTAGCTCTCTTCTCACATCTTCATGATCGTTTTCTCCTACCTCTGTGCTGTTTTAACTATTCCCACTGACTAAGGTACATCCTGTTTATAAGTCTCTACAACCCATCCTTTATACTCTTTCTTTCAGAATAGTCTTTCCAAACCATAAATCCTACCATGTCATTGTTTGGTAAAAGTCTCTCAGTGATTCTGTATCGCTTTCAGAATAAATTCCATAATTTAGTGTATTCTCGCCTTTCCCTTTCTATCCTGTCTGTTGCCACATTCCACACATGGTGTTTCTTTTATTTAACATGACCTTTTCCTTGCTCCCTGTTCCTGCATAATTTTTTTTAAAGATCCTCTGAAACTTGCTTTGAGTTTCTTCAGTTTGATATTAGGCTCCTCAACTTTTTTTGCATAATTGCCTATATAAATCTCTATTAAATTGCTGTTCTGTGATTATTATCTTTCTTATCTGCCTCCCGCATTAGACTATAGAAGTAGTCTTGCCTTATTTGTATTTTTGTTGTTTTGTCTTGACTTAACTCTCAGTTTACCATTAGGAACCCATGTTTAGTTTTTGACTTTATTTTTGAGTAGTTATTACTGTTTATAAATATTGATAGTTCATTACTTTATTCTTTTTTAGAAATCTTATGAAAAACAGGAAATATGCCCTTTCTTCCGTTTCTTTTTTTTTTTTTTTTTTTTTAAGTAACACCCTTATAGTTACTGGATGGATCCATTAAACCCTTTTATAAATGTAAGATACTCTATGGAACCTTGATTATAGAATTCTAGAGACACCATCACTGTAGTCTTTTTCCAGCTTTCATTGAACACAGTTGAGAATTCAGAATTTTTCATTTGTCATCCACATGGTAAAGAGAAAAATAACAGAAAAAGATGTTTTTGCAATTATTACACAAATCAGAAAATTAACACAAAGAGACAAAAAGCACTCGAGGCAAAGTGATGATGGTGAAATTGGTCATGTAAGCAAAATCTCAGACCCTAGGTAAATTCTCACACTCAAGAGTCAGTGAGTGAATAATATATTTCTGAGAACAAGAAGAAAAATGTAAGATTTTTATAACTTTACTCTCCTTTCTGTTCAACATAAAGGACTTAGTTATGTAATGTTTTGTGATAAGAACTTGGGCCATCCCATTTTGCTAAAAAGGACTTGTGACTTTATCTTTCATCTTTTGTATTTGTGGCTAAATTTTCCTTGATACAATTCTTAGTTGGTCAAATACTGAAGATAGTTGTAAATACAAGGAAATTGATAAAAAACAGATGATGAAGAGATGAAAATAATTATAATCTTTATAATATAAATCTATTATTTTTATAATATAAAAATAAACAAATGGGACCTAATTAAGCTTAAAAAAGCTTTTGAATAGCGAAGGAAACCATAAGCAAAATGAAAAGACAACCCACAGAATGGGAGAAGATATTTGCAAACAATTCGACCAACAAGGGATTAATCTCCAAAATACACAAACAGCTCAATAACAGAAAAAACAAACAACCCAGTCAAATGGGCAGAAGATCTAAATAGACTTTTCTCCAAGGAGTACATACAGATGGCCAAAAAGTACATCAATAGATGCTCAACATCACTAATTATTAGAGGAATGCAAATCAAAACTACAATGAGGTATCACCTCTCACTGGCCAGAATGGCCATCGTCAAAAAGTCTACAAAAAATAAATGCTGGAGAGCGTGTAGAAAAAAGGGAACCCTCTTACACTGTTGCTGGGAATGTAAATTGGTACAGCCACTATGGAGAACAGTATGGAGGTTCCTTAAACTAAAGATAGAGGGACTTTCCTGGTGCTCCAGTGGTAAAGAATGCAGGGGATGTGGGTTCAATCCTGGTCAGGGAACTAAGATCCCACATGCTGCGGGGCAACTAAGCCCAAGGGCCACAACTACTGAGCTTGCACACCTCAACTAGAGAGCCTGCATGCTGCAAACTACAGAGCCCATGTGGTCTGGAACCTGCATGCCACAACTACAGAGCCCACGCGCCCTGGAGCATGCACGACACAACTAGAGGGAGAAAAGCCACACGCCACAAGTAGAAGCCCACATGCCGCAACGAAGACCCGATGCAGCCAAAAATAAATAAATAATAAAATAAATCTTAAAAAAAAAAAAACTAAAGATAGAGCTACCATATGATTCAGCAGTCTCACTCCTGGGTATATATCATACTCTGAAAAGATACAGGCACCCCAGTGTTCATTGCAGCACTATTTACAATAGCCAAGACATGGAATCAGCCTAAATGTCCATCTACAGATGAATTGATAAAGAAGATAAGGTACATATATACAGTGGAATATTACTCGGCCATTTGCAGCAACATGAATGGACCTAGAGATTATCATACTAAGTGAACTAAGAGGAGGACAAATACCATATGATATCTCTTACACCATGTGGAATCTAAAACACGATACAGATGAACTTATTTACAAAACTGAAACAGACTCACAGACTTTGAAAACAAACTTATGGTTACCAAAGGGGAAAGGTGGGCTGGGGGGTAAGGGCAGATAAATTAGGAGGTTGGGATTAACATATAGACACTACTAAAGATAAAATAGATGATCAACAAGGACCTACTGTATAACACAGGGAACTCTACTCAATACTCTAATAACCTATATGTAAAAAGAATCTGAAAAAGAATAGATATATGTATTGATACATGTATAACTAAATTACTTTGCTGTACCCTTGAAACTAACACAACATTGTAAATCAACGATACTCCAATATAAAATAAATTTTTTTTAAAAATCTGAATGTGAAAATGTACAATTATGGAGCAAAGAAGATGACCTTTCTCTCTTCAGTGAAATTACGATTTGTCATAGTCTTTTAAAGTACTGTATTTAGGGCTTCCCTGGTGGTGTAGTGGTTGAGAGTCCGCCTGCCAATGCAGGGGACACGGGTTCGTGCCCCGGTCCGGGAAGATCACACATGCCGTGGAGCGGCTGGGCCCATGAGCCATGGCCGCTGAGCCTGTGCATCCAGAGCCTGTGCTCCGCAGTGGGAGAGGCCACAACAGTGAGAGGCCCACATACCGCAAAAAAAAAAAAAAAAAAGTAAAATACTGTATTTAGATGATGCAAAAGAAGAACCAAAAGTAAGGGTAAGCTAGAACCTAAAAGAGAGGTATTTAAAATCTAGAGTCAGTAATATGTTTTGACAATGCAAGTGCAAGAAGAAACAGAAGTAATGATAAGCTAGTACCTATTATAGATATGTTTGAAATCAGAAATTGTATTTACTAGATGGATATACTCCAGATTCATAGATAACAGTCTTAATGAGCAGCAATTTATAACATTCTCAGCACTAGGAAACTGTGAATAAAATGTGTGTCTGCTATGGGTACATTCTAATTAAGATTTCTATAAAGTTGTTTTTCATTGTATGTTTTTTAAATTATTTGTAAAATAATTGAGTTGAAAACCATTTAAAAGGTCCTTGGACCTAGGTAATAAATGCTAATGACTAATTTTTCTGGTATTCTGAGAGTTAAGAAATGATTATTTCAATGAATATCTGCATTTTGGTATTTGCTAGAATGGGCTGTTTATAAGAAACACCCATTTCACGTTTATTATTCATATATTGGTAAATATAAAGACCTGCCATTTCCTTAGTTAAATAAATTTTTGTCACTCCTCACTGACTAGTCCTTATGTTCAAATAACATATTTTATTTAAAACTCTATCTTAAGGATGTGTGGGTACATATGCGTGTTTTTATATTCTGACATTTGGAGTGTACTCTTTTTTGTTTGTTTGTTTATGGCGGTATAGTGCTGATGAGCTCCTTCTAACTGAGATGATGTTTAATGGCCTTTTCAATGACCTATCAGCAGAACAGGCAACGGCACTACTAAGCTGCTTTGTGTTTCAAGAGAATGTGAGTTAATAGTTTAGCACATCTTATTTGTTAATTTACATGTCTTATAATTTAATATTATTATGGATTTTTTAATTTTTAAAATATGCCTGCATGTTTACATATTATAGGTAATGTTATTAGAAATCAATGTAACTATAACCCAAATTTAGTAAGAGAGAAATAATTAAATGTATATTATTAGAAAAGAAAGTAAACTAGAATTTTATTTATAGACAATCATCATTAATCAGATTCCAAGTTAAAAATTTGCTCTATAACCCAGTGCATTATTTGAAGATCTAGCTTAGTCAGACAGTCTAGAAGGAAAAAGAAAAGGTAAAATTAGGCAAAACTAGTGAAAATGAAAAGGGAGTGAGGTCGAATTAACATTCCTCTTCTCAATTTTGGAGAATAACTGTGAGGCAGCTGATTGTACTAGAGGCTGAAGTCTTAGTTTTCATTGGCAAGATTTGAGATAATGGCCATACGATTCTCATCACTGGCTTGGCAGTAACTTTTTCATATGAGTAGTTAGTTGACTTTCACCAGCTCTTAAGAAATCAAAAAATGAAATGCTGGATGGACCAGAAGGACACTATCATCGTTTACTTTATTGCAAAAGCCAATATGATTTATTTTAAAAAGTAAAATGCATGTTTCACATTTCAAATTCAAAACTTTATTCATTGTTTATAAAATAGGCAAAATAAGAGTAAGACAAGCACATTTACCTTTTAAAAATAATGTTGCTACTATATAAATTTTTAGAGAACCTTTTACCATATACACTTAGTTTAACTTTTAAAAAAGTAAATTGTGTAAGACAAATTTGTTTTGCAGTTCTGCTGTCGATCTGTTTATCCATTAACTATTTCCTTATTTATTAATCAGATCAAATACATAACTTATTGGAGTAGGTAGGTATTTTCTCTCAGCTCTCTGATTACAGATCAGAATTACAACTGCAGTGGTAATGATAACAAATAGGACAGTAATCCAAAAATGATTTATGCTCTCGTAAGAATACCTGCTGTGCACCCATGAAGTAATTTAATTTGCATGTGAGGAATGCATTCCTTTACAAAATATTATGTTTGGCTGTTGTTTTCCTTAGGTTCAAAATTTTATTACATTAATTTCCAAGATAATTGTTTAGAATGTTTGTCCAGTTTTCTTTGAACAGATACAAGGTTTAGAAATTATTTGGAGATTGGTGATCTTCTGCCTGTGTCAGACTTTGTCTTGTGGCTAATTTCTTATACTGTGCTTTTTTTTAATGTGGCAGTAAAAAAATCCTATCTTCTGAGAGGCCATGTATGTTATCTCTTCATGGGAGTTGGGCCTAGCCAAAACACAACTCTTAAATCTTGGGGCAAGATGTCACTAAATGTAGTTGAGATTTGTTCAGTGAAGCCCCACTGTGTTATATGTAGTGTCATCAATTCTTGTGGTGTGGTGCCTTTCAACATCAAAATGGGTAATTGTACTGAAAATACCATGGAATTCTGTTGATACTTTAAAAGTATGTTTTCTAGCCAGAAAGGAAGGTAAATATAGTAAGATACTTGTCATAAATGCTGATACCTTCTGTTTTAAAGCTTGTTGTTTCTAATACCGTGCCCCCTTATTTTTTGTATCATTAGAAGTAATTTAAAGATTACACAGTATTTACAATATAAATATCAAGTATCTTACAAATATTTATTAAGCACCCACTATGTGCAATGCAGATACTTAGACACTAGAAAGACAGCAGAAACTTTTGCTTTCATGATACTTTCATGTATGCTAGTTGATGAAGATAAACAATAAAGAAATGAAATACACACATTATGACAAAAGGTGATGAGGGTTTTGGAGAAAAGTGAAGCAGAGGAGGCAGATAGAAATTGTTGCGAGGGCTGGGGTTACTATTTTAAGTAAGGTGATTAGAAGAGGCCTCACTGATAGTGACATTTGAATTGAGACCTGAAAGAGAGATAGGGAGCAAACTGCACTCACCTGGTAGGAGAATATTGGTAAAATGAAACATAGCTTACTTACATCAGGACCAGTGCCTTCTACTTACAGTGACCAGGAGAGAGGGAGAGATCAGTAACTGTTGATCGTGAATGGACACAATGTCAAAGACATGTACTTGTGTACTTTTCACTAAACTGAGATGTGTAGTTCATTCATGATACAAATCAAAACCAAGTCCTATATAAATACTGATGCTCAAAGTAAAGGCAGATCTATTGCAACTAACCTATAGTTGCTTTTTAAAAATTTACCTATAATTACTTTAAATTGTCTCACACATATATACATACATATATACATACATACCTTTCTTGTAATAATTTTATTTTTGTATAGTAAGTCTATCTTTGTCAAAATTTGTTCCTTAATAATAACTTTATTCTAATCACAAGTCTGTAGGTTTTGAGGACCTGACTTATTCTCTTTGACTGTGTAAGAAACTAACACACAGGATTCAAGCAGCTTGTCCAAGTTTATTTGACTAGTTAGTAATAGACCTGAAACTCTTATTATTCTAATTGAGAAACTGATAGACTTTTCACTAGTGGGGAGACAATAATAAGAATACTGAAACTCATCTAAACTTTTAAATATTTTAAAAGTGGTTAGAGAGCTAGAAATATCTGGGTAAAACTAAAATTGAGGGCATTTTTCTAATGTTCTTTATCCAAGATGTTTAATTTCCACAGAGTGGGAGTTGCCTAGAAGCCAAACTGTTTCAAAAATCAAAGTATGATACAACAGTTTATAAATGTTGATGTAACTAAACTACTATGCATGTTTACAATATTTTCTCCAGTTCCATTTATGGTCACAGAAAATAGCTAGTTTAGCACACTTTGCAAATTTAGCAGTGTAATATTTTCTTCTGAAATATAAGAGAATAGTATAATTCAGGATGAGAGGAGTGGTAATTTTGCTTACACAAACTAAGTTGATTAGAAACTCTAAATGCTAACGACTGAGGTCTTATAATTTGAAATTAATGGATATCATGAAAGCTTTGTTTTGTTTATAAAAGCAGATAATATATACTGCATTTTAAACTTGGGTTTTACATACAATCTTCCTTTTCTTTCATAGTCTAGTGAGATGCCCAAATTAACAGAGCAATTAGCAGGACCACTTCGTCAAATGCAGGTAAGATTTTTTTGAACTACATATTTTATGAATAGTATGTTGTGAAATAAACATTTGTGACAGTCTAATCATAATATTTATTATTCCACAGAGACAGCTTCCTTCAGGATTAAATATATCATTTGATGTTAGTCTTGTCATTTACTGCTGTTTTAATAACATCATTTGTAATTTTTCTTTTAAAAATTAGACATTCTCCCTCACCAAAATGTTAAGAGTTGCTGTGAGTACAGATTTAACACTGCATGGTGTAGATAGGCTATACCAACAGTTCAGTGTCTGCATCGTTTTCCTTGGTGTTAAGAATAGCATCTTGGGCTTCCCTGGTGGCGCAGTGGTTGGGAGTCCGCCTGCCGATGCAGGGGACGCGGGTTCGTGCCCCGGTCCGGGAGGATCCCACATGCCGCGGAGCGGCTGGGCCCGTGAGCCATGGCCGCTGGGCCTGTGTGTCCGGAGCCTGTGCTCCGCAATGGGAGAGGCCGCAACGGTGAGGGGCCCGCGTACTGCAAAAAAAAAAAAAAAAAAAAAAAAAAGACTAGCATCTTGATAGATTTAGTTAGCTTAATTTTTTATACATTTTTCCATCTCAGTTTACAACAAATTTTAAAATCAGGTTTTAAAATCTGTTTTAGCCTAAGAAATGATTTATTTCTGGATCCTCAAAGCCACAGTAGTTTATAGTAATGAATTGGTCTCTTTTATTATTTTTCTTGGGAAGAATGGTTTTATCTATCTTTTCAACATTAGACAGACAGGGAAAGATGAACTATAAGACATTGCAAGAGAGGAATGAAAAGTGAATCATAAAAGAAGTCCCCTTTAATGTAACATTTAACATTCCTTAATATTACTAAGAAATTTAAACTTCCAGAATCAGGGAAGTCTTAATAGGCCCAGGAGTTTTTGACCTTCTTGGTTACCAAGGAGAAAAGAATGAAATCTAACTTCCTATTGTAAGGAAAAGGAAATATTAAGATTTACATTTTTTAAAGCATTGTTGGAGAAAAAGCATCATTTTGCCATAGGATTTATGTTTCTCTGAGTCTGGCTTGTTATTATTGTCTTTGTTTTCTTAATGAAACAATTAGAGATGAGTTAAATGTTACTGTTTAGTAATTTTAATGAAGAGTTTTGGTTTTTGTAGAAAAGGTATTACTGGGTGAAAATCATGCTCTTGATATGTTTTTCTTAATTAATGTAGTGGAAAACTTTGCTGTTTGATTACTCAGCAGTGGAACAGGCACTGTGGCTACTTAGAAGCAGAATATCCAAATTGCAGACTTACTACCTAGGAAGAAAAAGGAACCTTGTAGAATACTGACTTTGGAAACCTAAAGAAAAAGTGATACGGGAGATCATAAGTAAGAAATTTTTTAAGTATATGTTTTATCTTCAAAGGAATGTGCTAAAAGAATTGCAAAAGTTTCAGCAGAAGCCAAATTGGAAATTGATGAGGAGACTTACCTAAGCTCATTTAAACCTCACTTAATGGATGTAGTATATACCTGGGCAACTGGAGCTACATTTGCCCATATCTGCAAAATGACAGATGTCTTTGAAGGTATGGTTAAATTTTGTACACACATATTTCTTTCTGATATAAGAAATATACTTAGGATGGCATTGATTTGCTAAACAAGAATAATATATTATTTTTAATTTTTGATAATAAAAGGAAATCTTCTGCCTATGTAAATCAAAAATATTCTCCACGAATCCTTTGTATTATTTAATAAGCTCAGTCTGCTCATTATAACAGTTTATAATCCTGTGCCAGAGTCTCTGCAATCACAAATAAGGCCTATTTATGTGGGTATTTTTACTTTTGGTTTTATTCTCTTAGTAATAACCTAATGGCTTGCTATGCAATTCCACCAAAAAATAGCAGAGCTAAATATGCTGTCCATCATTGCATTTCTAAAATCAATCAGAACTGTTACTCAACTGAAGAAAAATTTTAAATGAAGAAGTAAAGGTAAAGGGAATATATAAGGAGTAATTAATTATAAGTGAATTACAAGAAGCAAATAATAAGCACAATATTTAAAGAAAACCATATTTAGAAATGCTGTATTCATTGCAAAAAGATTGGCTTACGCAGATTGTAGATATTTATAATGGTGAATTGTGTTTGCACCAAACTTTCTTAAAAATTAAAATAAATGAGCTTGGACTTCGTAGATATTTATTATAAGAACATTTAAAATTTTATTTTGAGAAAAATTATATTTTTAACATACCCTGTATACTATGCTTTTTACCCAATATTATTAAAGACTAATAGATTACTGAGTTTATGAATCTCTGCAACAGAATCAACTATGAGCCTTTACTTCACTACATTGAATTTTAATGGGTTTTAAGGTTTTAAATATTATAGTTTATAGTATATTATTTTTGAATTATGGTGTGCTGTTTTAGTCCTTTCCCTAAAGTTTATTTCTAAGCCTCCATTAAATGGTTATTAGTATTATGGTCCCAAAATCTTTTTCTGAATACTGTATTCTGTTACCAGGATGGTCATTATTTATTAGGTAACTACTGTGTGCCAGGAGTTGTGCTAATAAGCATTTTATATAATTTAGATCTAATCACCAAAGTAGCACATCAGAGTAGACATTATTTGCACTTTGCACAAGGAAACTGATTTTTAAAAGGTAAATAATTTGGTCAAGGTCATGGAGGTGTATGTACTACATGATGGCACTATGATTTGAATTCTGGCCTCTGTGACTACAAGCACATGATAGTTGATAACTTCATCTAAGAACCATAATACCTTATCTTTGAGTTTTGGACCACCTAGAGACTTCTTAAATACTACCTAAAATTATACCATCTCTATCCACTGAAAATTTATGCTTGTAGGAATGGTAAGAAGGTCTATAATAATTGATGGTGGGTAGCTACTGTTGAGGCTGTGAGAAGAGAGCGTGACATCCTCATCTCACCTGTGAACATTGCTTAACACGCAGAAACCCAGATAGATGTATGACAGCTTGTGTGTTTCAGACACACAAAGGCAATCAAGTACAGCATCACCACTCTTCAGTCTAACTTCTTTTGGGAACATAAAGATGAAACTAATTACTGTTCTATGCCTAAATTCTACGACTTGTTAATATAATAGCTCATATTTGTATATCTGCTTCTCTGAGAAGGCGAACACAATGGCATAAAACAATAATGGTGCACTGTTTGTTTTGTTTTGTTTAAGAAAAATGAAGGGACAATAGGCCTAGAAATATAGGAAGCCTTATAAAATTATCTTTGTGGATTATTTTTCTATTCTTTGTACTTAAATGAAAAAGTTACCGCAGTATGGCAGATAAATCCTAAACTGCTAAATTGAAGACAGTTTGTATTTTTTTTAATTTATTTATTTATTTATTTTTGGCTGCGTTGGGTCTTTGTTGCTGCACACGCGCTTTCTCCAGTTGCAGTGGGTGAGGGCTACTCTTCTTTGCAGTGCGCGGGCTTCTCATTGCGGTGGTTCTCTTGTTGCAGAGAACGGGCTCTAGGCGCGCAGGCTTCAGTAGTTGTGGCTTGCGGGCTCTAGAGCGCAGGCTAAGTAGTTGTGGCACACGGGCTTAATTGCTCTGCTGCGTGTGGGATCTTCCCGGACCAGGGCTCAAACCCGTGTCCCGTGCATTGGCAGGCGGGTTCTTAACCACTGCGCCACCAGGGAAGTCCTGACGGTTTGTATTTCTGCCACCTATGAGTTGATGTTTTCCACAACATACTAGCAATTCCTGAAATCTGTTTCAGTTCCTGAAATCTATTTCAATTCCTTGAGGTTATTTCAGTGTCACAGTTTGCTTGAGAAATCTAAGATTAAAAATTGAGGGATTCAGTTTATAACTTGAAATTGGGTCTAACATCAACACAATTTTCATGGTACCATTATACCAGCTATACCTTTTCTTTCTAAAATTGGGAAAGCTCATAAAAGCAAATTATATAATTAAACAGCAAAAAAATAACTGAGAACCTTGATTTACTTAGGATATTGTTTTTTGTTTTTTGTTTTTTGTGGTACGCGGGCCTCTCACTGTTGTGGCCTCTCCCATTGCGGAGCACAGGCTCCGGACGCGCAGGCTCAGCGGCCATGGCTCACGGGCCCAGCCGCTCTGCGGCTCTCAACCACTGCGCCACCAGGGAAGCCCCCTTTTTTTGTTTTTACTATGTTGTTTAGTTCGTCCATTTCAGAATAGCCATTCTCTCCTCATCTTGTTACTGTACATGCTTTATATAATTGGAAAAATACTATAATCAAAGCTCTAGCCCATAGTATAGTGTGTCTTTATTTTTACAGGCAGAAAATGACTGCATTGGAACTTTTTAGTGTGCTCTGGTCAAGTGTCTGATCATGTCATGTCATGAGCCTCAGGAGTAGTTTTAAGTATTTTTCAAACATTAGCTGGAGCTAGTTAACATTGTAATGATTAACACCATATGTTTGGGGGACGTCTGATGTAAGAGAAGAGTTTATACTGTGATTCAGTTGAGGAATTTTGAACACTTCACATAAATAATTATTGCCCTGTTACCACCCTGGAAAAAATGATAGAATATAATCGTTTCTTATTTCCATCAATTAAATTTGGATAACAATTAAAAATATATCTGTATGGGCTATAGCCCATACAGATACGGGGTTTCAGTCTACTGATCCATTGTAGTAGATCCATTGTAACCTAGACAGGGCCATTACTATTTATTTCTGTCTATACAAAAACAATATTGTAGTCTTCACTGTGCATGAAGGATTTGCTTTCCACTAAGCACATGTCATCAGGAAAGCTCCTATGACGAATTATCACTTGAAAGTGTTTACTGTACTTCTGCCTGTCATAGGTTTTTTTGTTTTGATTTGGTTTTGGCTGCGTTGGGTATTTGTTGCTTTGCATAGGCTTTTCTCCCTAGTTGCAGCGAGCGGGAGCTACTCTTTGTTGCAGTGTGTGGGCTTCTCATTGAGGTGGCTTCTCTTGTTGTGGAGCATGGGCTCTAGGCGCGCGGGCTTCAGTAGTTGTGGCACACGGGCTCAGTAGTTGCAGTTCGCGGGTCCTAGAGTGCGCAGGCTTCAGTAGTTGTGGTGTGCGGGCTCAGTAGTTGCAGCATGTGGTTCCTACAGCGTGCGGGTTTCAGTAGTTGTGGCACGCAGGCTCAGTAGTTGTGGCTCACAGGCTCTAGGGCACACGGGCTTCAGTAGTTGTGGCATGCAGGCTCAGTAGTTGTGGCTCGCAGGCTCTAGGGCACGTGGGCTTCAGTTGTTGTGGCATGCAGGCTCAGTAGTTGTGACTCGCAGGCTCTAGGGCACATGGGCTTCAGTAGTTGTGGCACGCAGGCTCAGTAGTTGTGGCACACGGGCTTAGTTGCTCCGCAGCATGTGGGATCGTCCCCGCACCAGGGCTCAAACCCGTGTCCCCTGCATTGGCAGGTGGATTCTTAACCACTGTGCCACCAGGGAAGTCCCTGTCCTAGATTTTTAAAGCAAATGCTGTTTGGCACATTCGTACTCTCTGCCCCCACCGCATGGTCTTCTCAACTGCCTTTGCACTAGCATAGTTTTACCCTTTCTTAGGAGACGGTACATCAGTGTTAGAAGGGATTTTCCAATGGATTTGTTATTTCAAAATACTTTTGCTAATAATAGTAGAGTAACATTCTATTAATATGTATCTGTTCTGTGTTTAAAGTTTGGCACAGTTTTAGTACTAAATGACTTAGGAATTAGTACCTGATACTTACCCATTTAATGAATAATTAACTGAGACCCTAGTGGGATCAGGAATTGTGCTGGGTGCAGTGAAAGCAACAGTCTCTGCCCTCCAGGAATGTTTTCAGCCTAAGCTGGGATCTAGTGGTAAATGATTGCAGGAAAATATAATTATAATCCTAACCTCAGGCCTCAATAACCACTTAGATAGGAGTTTTAAATCAAATTCAGGGCGTGAACTGTGGGGAACCACTTTTGCAAATGCCAGAAAGCTGGAGGTAGAAATAAATACCTCTCCAGATAAAGAAATGTGTTGATTTCCATCCTCAATTAGAATGGTGTTGTTTAAGAACCTCATGAGCTTGATGTTTATAAGATTACCCTTAAAGCATGTGTGCTCAAATGTCCATCAGTGGGTGAATAAATTGTGTATTATCCATATAATGGGACAGTATTCTACTGTAAAAAAAAAAAAAGTGAAGTACTGATTCATGCTAAAATATGGATGAACTTTGACCAGATTAAGGTTCTAAGTGAAAGAAGGCAGACACAAAAGCCACTTATTGTACAATTTCATTTATGTGAAATGTCCAGGATAGGCAAATCTGTAGAGACAGAAAGTAGATTTGTGGTTGCCACGGGCTGGGGGAAGGTGGAAGGGGGTAGTGTGACTGCTTAATGGATATGGGTTTCTTTTTGAGTGATAAGAAGATTCTAAAATTAGATAGTGATTATGGTTGTACAATTCCAAATATACCCAAAACCACTGAATTTGTACACTTAATTAAAAGGGTGAATTTTATGCCATGTGAATTATATTTCACTGTGATAAAAACAGGCAG